ACTCTGTTTAGTAGACTTGGGAATTGTGGGCACAGAGTTCTGGATCGACCACCGGATCAGAATCTGGGCGGCGGTTCTGCTATGCTTTTTGGCCATCTCTACAATAATCGGCTCATTAACCAGATATCCCTCGCCTAATGGCGAATAGCCCTGTATTTGAATCTTGCAGTCATCGCAATACTGACGCAAATCGATTGGATTGTGAAACGGATGAAACTCTATTTGGTTGATATGCGGCAAAACGCTGGCCTCGCCTAACAGCCTCTCAAACTCGTCGATCCCATAATTACTGACACCAATCGCTTTGCATAAACCCGAGTCGTACAGACACTCCATCGCCCGCCACGTGTCGGCCAGTGTTTGCCACTTATCGGCGCATTTTGACGACACTTCGGGCCAATGGATTAAAAACAGATCGATATAATCGACACCCAATCTGTCGAGCGATCCTCTAATCGCAGCTTTTGTTGTCTCAAAACCATAATCTGTTGGCCAAAGTTTGGTCGTCAAAAAAAGCTCTTCTCTTGGANACACTTCGGGCCAATGGATTAAAAACAGATCGATATAATCGACACCCAATCTGTCGAGCGATCCTCTAATCGCAGCTTTTGTTGTCTCAAAACCATAATCTGTTGGCCAAAGTTTGGTCGTCAAAAAAAGCTCTTCTCTTGGAATACAACTCTCCTAAAAATATTGTTAGTATTTAATTTTTATAGTAAAGTATCAAATAATTTAATAATATAATAAAATGATTACTTCAATTGCCTGATGGATGAGTTTTTCCGTTCCGTAGCGTTTGGCGGTATCGATGAGCCGATAGCCAACATCTTTAAGCGCATATACGACAGCCTCGTGTGAATATCCGCCGCTATGACTGGTACCTGAAATCATTGAACATTTTGATATTAGCTGATGATTACATTGATGTTTGTTTAAATTTAGACCCTCATTAAAACTTGATCTCGTAATAGACTTTTCATTATGTGTTTCATATCTTTTGCTAAATTAAAAATAGCGTCAAATTAAAAACTTAAGAATTTGAAGGTCATTAGGAAATCACTTTTACATTCATAGCATTTATACTCAATAATTATATCAATTGTATTCAAAACTATTATAAAAATCAATATTAATTAAATGTCAAAAGAAGAGTATTGATGAATCTAGCACATTGAGTAACTTATACTAAAATATCAATACTAACATTATCGTATTTTTGTAGTTTTAATCTATAGATTACAATTAAAAGTAACATGTTAATATAATATTAATTCGTAACATTAAATATAATTCATGATTACATTATAATTATTGCATTATTAATGTTAAAAGGTGTTTGATCATTTGAAACAGATATTTTCCTGAAAATTTATTAATTACATTTTAGATCAAAATTTTTAAAAACAAATAATAAATGTCAAAATATATATTCATTATTTTTTTACCTAATCCAACGTAAGGCATATAAACACCATTGTTTAATCTAATCCGTGATTTACTATCCATATATCTAATCCTTATATTCTTCAGCCGATACACCGGTTATTGAGACAATTAAATGACAGCGAATTTGATTATCAGTGCAAATGCGCTCATATATGGCACCGATATCTTCGCGCACAAACACTACACAAACATTTGGCTCAAGAATATCCAGAATCTACTACTCGTATTGATCTGTGCCATAGATTCTATGGTCTATATATACAGTCTACACATAATTCACGCAAACTCTACGCAAATAACTCCAACGATTCAAATGACACAGAAATTGTTTTTAGTCACACAAAAATTATATAAAATTCAATGAGACACAATTCAAATAATTGTTTGATATTTATTTAATATTTGACATTAAACACTTGCTGTACTTAAAATTAAATTAGTATAAATATTAACTAATGACATATATTGTTTATTAATAGAAATTCTAGATGAAAATGTCAACTGAAAAGCCATAACCTATGATTGTTTATTTTAAAAACTATCATTTACAAAAAAAAAATCATGAAAATTGTTGTGTCTAGTAGATAATGTTGTAATTTTAGTTATATATCATATTTTATTGATCAAAATAATATACTTAATAGGAATACAAAAAACTTAATGTCTAATTGATCATTACAATTAAAATGATTTTATAACAAATAATTTTGAAATGCAATTTAAATTATTTCTTAACATTCCGTTATAATTGGCATATAATTATTTATTTATAATTTCTTATATGCATATTTTTCATGTTACTATTTTGCCACAATCTTCTTCATTGCATTTATATTATCATTAATTTAAATGAATACAAATTTTGTGTTCAATTAACTATTGTTTTTGTCCAAAACATTTGTGACATTCTTTGAAATCGCAAACAAATCTCGTATTCAAATGAACACTACTTTGTTTGGACAAATAAACTTGATTTTTGTTTATAAATTTTGTCACAATTATTGAAATTACATTTAAATTGTTTTATTCCTGTATAAATTAATTGATGGTTTAGTAAATGACTTTTTATGTGTTTTTGTGTTGCTTTGAATTAACATTTTAGCCAAAGTCAGTACAAATAATCATTAGATTTAGTAATAAGGTAATTGGTAATCTTAATATGGTAATTGGTTAACATTTTATTAATGATCTTACGTAAAATGCAATCAAATATTTGATTGATTGTAAAATAATCATTATTTTTGCATTCAATCGCTTTACACAAAACATTGTATAATTTGCATTAAAAATAGACTCACTTTTGCCTATTATTTCGCATAAACTCCTCATTGAATTCAATTTACACATCATTTGAATCAACGATTCGCTAATTAGTTGTCAATTCATTATAATCTAATAATTTATTAGTTAACTAATAGCGCTCTCACTCTCTGTATATACTTTTCCTAAATAACATAATTGTTTGCATTCTTTGGTGACATTTATATCACAATTAATATATTCTTTGAGCCATTGAACGATCTCTTGGATAAACTGATCGGTAGTTGTCATGTCGTCGAACACGCAATTCACAAAACCGATTGCGAGCGCTTCATCAGCGGTGACCACACGGCCGGAGGCCAACAGATCCAACGCTTTTGTGGGACCCAACAAATGGACGAGTCGTGTGCCGCCACTCCAGCCAGTGGTCACTCCCATACAGATCTGTAAGAATGCAATTTTGGCACTTTTGGTCGCTATCCTTATATCGCAAGCGGTCAGTATCTCAGCGCCGCCGCCCAACGCCTGGCCCTCCACTGCGGCCACAGTTAGTATCGGTAGACATTGGAGACGACTTAAGTTGGAGTGCATTAGTCGGCTGTAATGATAACCCGATTCCGCAATCGAAGAGTGTTTTCGCACAAAATTCAGGTCAACTCCCGAAGAAAAGAATCCGTTTGTGCCATAGATTATGACAGCCTTTCCCTGCAATCAATAATATCGGTGTTAATATAGTTTAGCACATATTTGTCAGTGTCTTAACTGTTGACCACTTTTCCAATTCAGTGATCACTTCCGATAACTGTTCCATCAATTCATCGTTGAGTGCATTTCTCTTCTTGTAATTATTGATACAAATGGTGGCGATTCCTGTCCTCTCATTCTTCATCAGTTCAATACTTTCTTCAAACTTATCGGACATTCTTATGCAATGATAACTCAAATTCACTTAAATATTACATTTAAATCAATTTCATTATAATATTAATTTGTTTGTTTGGTTAGGTATTAAACATAACATGTAATCATGTGTAATTTAAATAATTATAAGTTATTAAATAACTAAACACTTAATTACTGTTTTCATTCAACAATTTATAGATATAATAAATAATTACCTAAATAAGTGCCTATGAAAAGGAAAACTCTATCAAAATAAAACAAAATAAACAGAAAAGTGTGTTATTATTATTGAAATTAAATATTTTATGCGACGATCTGTTGATTAAAAACATTGACAAACACTTTACGCCTCTAAACAGGCTTTAAGTTAATTAATACTAAATTCAAGGCTATTATAATGTATTATACAATACTGTATTGTCATTGCAATGAATTTCAGCTTATTTTAACTGCAATCTAAACATATATTGGTTTAACAAATACCTGTACGGATACAACATATACTGTCCTGTAATTATAATTGCCGTACATTTAAACATAAAAATATGTCATTTCGAGTATAATTTGAATAATTCTTATTATCAAATCGTAATGTAAATCATTTTGAATCAATTCATAACCAATTCTAATGCAAGAATCTCTACTATTATTACTAAAATCGATATTTTTATCATTAAATAGTGTACATTATATGGTCATATAAATGTAGTGCATGTGTGAATTCAAACATATGAAAACCATCACCAAAACTACCAATATTACAATTACAATATAAACTTCAAAATTACAAAATATTATCGTACAATTAATATCAGCTAACATTATGTCAGTTTTATTTTTGTCGAGCGCTTATCAGTGATAAAAATTCAAACCCCTTATTGCCATTAAAGTAGAAATATTTCTTGTTATTAATAGTTCTGTTAATTAAAAAATGTTCAAATGTTAGTCTTATTGATTAATATTAATAAGTATTCTGTATCTAAAACGTCTCAATGATATCAATAAATGTGATTAAATAATATTATTGTTAAACATCTCTAATAATATTAGCCTTAATTCTGTTCTAAAATCAATTACAAAACGATTACATCGTTTGAATACATAAAATGTTTTACATAAATGTATTACAAAATAAAATAGAAATCCATAGAAACGCAAATTTCATGATAAAAATCAAACAAAACAGTGATATAACGTCTGAAATGTGAGGAAATTATTATTATTTAAAACTTGAATTAAATGGAGAATACAGTTAATTATTTATTTAATTTAGTTAAAACACTAAAATAATAAAATACATTAGAATTTTTACTTTATAAATATTTATCAGAAATTTTTAATTATTCANTTCTACGCGACCTGGTGCGGGCCCTGCAAAATGATTGGTCCCGTTTTGGACAAAATGAGCGACGAGTTGGCGGCGGAAGTGGTGTTCCTGAAGGTCGATGTGGACGAGAACGAAGACATCGCCACCGATCACAAGGTGTCAGTTATGCCCACTTTCTTGCTCTTCAAGAATAAGCAAAAAATCGATGAGTTTTCCGGCGCTAATGAGACCAAACTTCGCGAACTCATCCTTAAACACAAGTAAAATGACATCTTTTTCTGGTCTAAGACATCGATTTGTGAACTAAAACTTTATCTTCCGTTTGAATTGTGTTTGTTTTTTGCGATTAATTAATGCTTTTTATTGTTTATTATAAGTACTTTATTATTAATAATGAAAATCATTGTTCTTCACTACATATTACGGTATATTTTTTACTTTATCTTCCGTTTGAATTGTGTTTGTTTTTTGCGATTAATTAATGCTTTTTATTGTTTATTATAAGTACTTTATTATTAATAATGAAAATCATTGTTCTTCACTACATATTACGGTATATTTTTTTTATACACAAATTGTTTTAAAAGTTTGTATTTAACTTTTAATCAAAATTTCTTCCTTATGTTTAACGTATGGTTTAATTAAGTTTAGCAGTCGTTTAGATATTGAGAAAGTTTTTTGATATCATTTTGTCTAAAATATGTTTATTTAGTTCATTAATTGGTGAAAACATTTTGAATAATTAAAAATTTCTGATAAATATTTATAAAGTAAAAATTCTAATGTATTTTATTATTTTAGTGTTTTAACTAAATTAAATAAATAATTAACTGTATTCTCCATTTAATTCAAGTTTTAAATAATAATAATTTCCTCACATTTCAGACGTTATATCACTGTTTTGTTTGATTTTTATCATGAAATTTGCGTTTCTATGGATTTCTATTTTATTTTGTAATACATTTATGTAAAACATTTTATGTATTCAAACGATGTAATCGTTTTGTAATTGATTTTAGAACAGAATTAAGGCTAATATTATTAGAGATGTTTAACAATAATATTATTTAATCACATTTATTGATATCATTGAGACGTTTTAGATACAGAATACTTATTAATATTAATCAATAAGACTAACATTTGAACATTTTTTAATTAACAGAACTATTAATAACAAGAAATATTTCTACTTTAATGGCAATAAGGGGTTTGAATTTTTATCACTGATAAGCGCTCGACAAAAATAAAACTGACATAATGTTAGCTGATATTAATTGTACGATAATATTTTGTAATTTTGAAGTTTATATTGTAATTGTAATATTGGTAGTTTTGGTGATGGTTTTCATATGTTTGAATTCACACATGCACTACATTTATATGACCATATAATGTACACTATTTAATGATAAAAATATCGATTTTAGTAATAATAGTAGAGATTCTTGCATTAGAATTGGTTATGAATTGATTCAAAATGATTTACATTACGATTTGATAATAAGAATTATTCAAATTATACTCGAAATGACATATTTTTATGTTTAAATGTACGGCAATTATAATTACAGGACAGTATATGTTGTATCCGTACAGGTATTTGTTAAACCAATATATGTTTAGATTGCAGTTAAAATAAGCTGAAATTCATTGCAATGACAATACAGTATTGTATAATACATTATAATAGCCTTGAATTTAGTATTAATTAACTTAAAGCCTGTTTAGAGGCGTAAAGTGTTTGTCAATGTTTTTAATCAACAGATCGTCGCATAAAATATTTAATTTCAATAATAATAACACACTTTTCTGTTTATTTTGTTTTATTTTGATAGAGTTTTCCTTTTCATAGGCACTTATTTAGGTAATTATTTATTATATCTATAAATTGTTGAATGAAAACAGTAATTAAGTGTTTAGTTATTTAATAACTTATAATTATTTAAATTACACATGATTACATGTTATGTTTAATACCTAACCAAACAAACAAATTAATATTATAATGAAATTGATTTAAATGTAATATTTAAGTGAATTTGAGTTATCATTGCATAAGAATGTCCGATAAGTTTGAAGAAAGTATTGAACTGATGAAGAATGAGAGGACAGGAATCGCCACCATTTGTATCAATAATTACAAGAAGAGAAATGCACTCAACGATGAATTGATGGAACAGTTATCGGAAGTGATCACTGAATTGGAAAAGTGGTCAACAGTTAAGACACTGACAAATATGTGCTAAACTATATTAACACCGATATTATTGATTGCAGGGAAAGGCTGTCATAATCTATGGCACAAACGGATTCTTTTCTTCGGGAGTTGACCTGAATTTTGTGCGAAAACACTCTTCGATTGCGGAATCGGGTTATCATTACAGCCGACTAATGCACTCCAACTTAAGTCGTCTCCAATGTCTACCGATACTAACTGTGGCCGCAGTGGAGGGCCAGGCGTTGGGCGGCGGCGCTGAGATACTGACCGCTTGCGATATAAGGATAGCGACCAAAAGTGCCAAAATTGCATTCTTACAGATCTGTATGGGAGTGACCACTGGCTGGAGTGGCGGCACACGACTCGT